TGTTTTTCTATTTAATATCCTAAAGGGCAGGTTTATTATTATTATTTTTTAAAGATTTATTTATTTATGCATACAGAACTGGGGTACAGGCCAGAGGCTCGGGGCGGTGAGAGGCTTCACCAGAGACAGAGTGGGGAGCAGAACAGGCAGATCGACGAAGTACACTGCTGAGGAGAGCAGCGGGAGGGTCAGGAGAGGTCTGCCACGCCATGTGGTCACCTCCGCGGAAGGCGAGAATCGAACTCATACGGAAGTGGCTTTAGCTTCTCAGTGCAGTGCTTTAACCCGCTGCGCCACCAGGGAGGGCCCTATTTTTTTAAAAAAAAAAAAAAAAAAAAGGAAAGGAAAGAACGCTTGCACCATAGAGCTGCCTCTTTCTGTTTTTCCCTCTTTCCAGACCACACAACTCCGCCCTGCCCGCCCCGCGCTCATCCAGTTGTAAATGAACATTCTTTCCCTTCCACCTCTGTAGATGCACCTATGTGCAGACTTTTAAAACATGCCTTGTACCACCTCTACTCTGGCATTTATCACTCGGCTTCCTTTATGCCTCTAAGACGATCTGCTTCCTTAGCCAAAGACCACATAAGATTCCATTATTAAGCAAATACCATAATCTGCTTAACCATTTTCCTATTGATGTCATTGGGGTTTTCTTGCTATTTTGCTACTGCAAATTATATTGCAATGACCATCGATGTGGGTGTATATCTTTCAAAACTTGTGTAAATATTTCCAGAGGAATCACCAAGGCCAAAGAATGCATGCATTTACAATGGTGCTAGATGTTGCCAAAAAATGCTCACTTAAATGGCGTATGAATTTGTTTTCCACCAGCAGTTTGTTAAAACATCTCTTTCCCCATAGTCTTACCAACACCAAATATTATCAGTGTTTTTCCTGTTTGCTAAAATGTGGGGGAAACGATGGGGCATTGTTTCAGCTTGCATTCTTCTGATGGCCACCGGGGTCCTCCCCGCTGGTTATTAGTTCAGCTTCTTCTGGGCATGGCCCTTTTCATAGATCTGTGCTGCCAACTGTTTGGCGGAGGCATGGTAACCCCCCACCCACCACCATTTCTTTTCTTCTTCCCCCCTCACCCCATAATAGGTTTATATCATCTAGTCCTGTCTTGATTAATTCCAGAAAAATTGAGAAACATATGGTGTACGTGATTCAAAATTTGAAAAAAGCACAATGCAATTTATATTGGGATGTTAGAGGTTTTAGGCAGGAGCACAGCTTTGGGACAGATCAACTCCCATTTGATTCCTAGTCCTGTCTTTGCCCTGCTGGGAGACCAGGGATCTTGCTTTCCTCACTGACCTCCTGGTTTTCATAACTTAGAATGGGAATAAGAGCACATCTCATTGGGGTCGTTAGGTGACATCAGATGGTGTGTGGCATGGACCCGGAGAGAGAAGCACTCAGTCATTGTGGTGGTTGCACTAATGTCATTAACACATTTTGACTCTCATAACATTTGAACACTGAGGCAACATTAACTTTTCTCCCCAGCAGAATATTCATGTCTTCTACGTTTGAATCCTCCTGTGAGCTTGAGTCCCATTCCTTACTCTTAAGTTCACTTTCCCAGTCAGGCCAGATATGTAGGCTTCCACTCCCTTCCCTAGTCACGTCTTTGACTGACAGGGTGTGGTCCTCTGCAAGCCTAAGGGTTTGAATGTCCACTCTGCAATCTTGGCAGAACTGAAGGCAGCTCCAGCCTGTGGGTGAGCCCTGAGCATCTGGCCAGGCTGTGTGTTAGAGTCAGGCCTGGAGATGGCAACAAACCCCATACCAGAGAGAGTCTCCCTCCCCCAAGGTTCATTGTCAGAGCCGGTGATTAACCCACAATTAAGAGCTGAGTATGGGCCAGTAGAAACACTTAGTTCAAAGCGTCAGACGTCAGAGATACTGAATACCAAGGAAAACTGACTATCTTTGGACAGAGCAAGATAGGGCAGGGTGATGTGGGGTCATTCAAGCATTTCAGCAACATCCCAGGTCATCTCACCTTTTAAGGCTGTAGTCTACAGTTTGTGGCTTCTCCTGCATTGGCTGCCTCATACCCTAAGGAGCCTGCTTCGGGAAACTATCCAGAGACAGAGAAAAGAACTTTCTCCTTAAGTTTCTCTAGAAATCTTTCTTTAAAATTCCCAACAGATTATGCCTTCTGACATATTGGTCCAAACTGAATCATCATATGCCTTCTGCAGGAAAAAAAAAAAAAAAAACAGTCAGAGGCACAGCAATGAAATTACTATTATTGATTTAGGCTGCTCTGAGTCAAAGAGAGGCCTGTCACTTCCAAAGCACTGGGCCGCTGGACACCTGAAGGAATGTAGTCAGGTGTGGGCCGAGGGTGGCCTTTTACAGTGAGTGAGGAGGCTGATGAACAGTGTGTGCCACCCCCTGCATGTGGGTTTGTGGGATTCAGAAGGTCTAATTTTGAGATCCAGTTTAAAATGAATATGGAAATATTCAAGGAGTCAAGTAAAAATACCAATTTTGACATTTGCAACCTGGACACTTAGCATTATAAAGGGAGGGAAATGATATTTCAGGCCAGGTCTAAAGCAAGGGGTATGATTCTGAGTCAATAAGCCAACTTTAAAAGGAAGAGATTTTGAGGAGTGAGCATCCATAATCAATCCCCAAGGCCTTAGCATGGGGTGAGTTTCGTGGGACTGTATTGAGCTCTTGGGAGGAAAAGCACCTGGATGCGGTACCCCCACGGGGCAGGCTGTGGAAGGCAAGATGGCCCTCCTACAGCAGAAGCCTGCCTTCCAGGTCCCCCCATGAGCCTCACACCCATTGCTGAATATAAAGGTATTGGGGTAGCGGGCACTGGAAGAGCAGAGTCCAGCAAGGAAGTGCATTCTGCAACCCTCTAGAGATCCTAGATCCCTGTGACCTGAGGGACAGTCCAATGACGCTGCTCCTGCTCCCTTCCGACCTTGCCCTCCGAAGCTGATGGGGATGGATTTCAAATGGAAGAGGTCATTCATTCTTTCCAGAGGGGCAAGCAGGAAAGAGCTGGATCCTGCGGCCTCCCCTGGAAGGGCAGGAGTGAACTCACAGTCCTCGTACTCTGTGATGTCTTGGCTTCCTTACTCTTGGATGTTTTTGAGACATTCTCAACCATGGGAAGAAATTGGGGCTGATTTCTAGAATATAGGCTATTTCTACACACTTGGATCCATGACAGCCTTGGTCAAAAACTGAGTGTGTGGAGGCGATAAGAAGGAATTCAAGCACCTGGGGGAAGGCCCCAGGAGAGAGGAGCCTGGATATTGGTATCGCTGTGTGGTTGGGTGGGAGGGGAAGGGCGGAGCAGTGCTGCAGGGAATTCCACCGGGCTGTGGGCTTGAGCCACCTGTCACCTACTTATGTCCCAGTCTTGTCAGGGAGGAGACATAGCAGCATGGAAACTGCATGTTCCAAATTCTTACAAATAGTCCTGTGGATGTTTTACCTAACAAATTTGTTCAGTAACCAACCACCTTGGAGGTTGTCTCTGCCTGTGCGGCGCCCTTCCTCCAACCTCACCTGTACCATTGTCTTGGAGATGCAAGTCAAGAGGGTGGGGACCTTTTGCAGGGGGGTTTCTCCTCTCTGATCTGCAACTTGAGTCAAAGTTCAAAGATGGCAGAGTGAGAAGCTGAGGCTGGTCTCCCCAATGTCCTGCTGTGTGCTCTCTTGCTTTGATGGGGGCAGTACTAAATTGTCAGTGAGGATGTCCTTTGTTTAAAAACAAAAGTCTTGCTTTTGAGATAGTAATTCAGAAAACAGACTGCACATAAAAGGAGTGCTGTTGAAGGAAAATTGATAATCATTACAGCATTAAATCAAATGCAAAGGGGGAACACAGAGGTTTTTAGCTAGAAAAAATTATTTGGAAGAAATACATTTACTTGCACATCCTATGAGTAGTAAGGACTTCATAGTTCTGACCACTTCTCATCCTGGCCCGGGATCCTTGCTCGCGCTAGCCGTTACACTCCACCTCTGAGGAATGGAAAGAACAGCAGCTCAGGGTGGTTGTGAGGATCATGAGCTGTAATAGCTCTTCATGAAGGTGAGTTAGGGAGAAATAGACCCGAGGGGAATAACTTCCAAAACCACCTGGGGTTGGTATAGGTCAGGTCTGCTGGCTAATCCCAAGACCAAAGCAGGAATTTCTCTGGACAGTTGCAGGACTCATGGGTGACCTCCCGTCTGCAGAGTCAGCCCACGGAGGAGGGGACTTGTGCTGAGAACCCCAAGATGGGTTTGCGCCATTTCCCTTTGCTTCCTCTCTAGCAAGGAGCAGAGCGAGCTCAGCCCTGTCGTTGCAACTGAGTAACTCCTGTAGGGTCCAGTGATAATCTCCCAAATGTATCATCATCTTGTTTCTCCACCTGATTCCTGTGAGCCCTGGCCCCGCCCTTCCCCACCTTGTAACTTGGGCAAACACTTATACCTCTCCTCACCTGCTCCTTAGTCAGCAGCAAAATACTCAGAGTAGCATAGGGTTGTCATGAAGATTAAAGTCACTGAGACCGAGAGTGACAGATCGGCACAGTGTGCAGAATATGGCAGGCAGCTCTGGTGACAACCATCACTGTCACTCATGTTTGTTGAAAGACATGGTTTTGGTGATTACTTTTTAACCTAATTTGAATAATAGTATACATTTTTAAAACAGCAAAGCTATATTTATTTGGAAAATATGCTGGTGCACTCCCTTACTCTTGAAACAGGCCCTCAGCCCTAGTAAAATTTTGTGATGCTGGTCATAAAATGGGGTTCAAAGTCAGGGGCTGCCCCCCCACACACACACCCCAACCCCCCATTGTAGTCACTGTGGTGTGACTGACAGGACAGCAAGTGACTTCGGACACCTCCCAGTCTCCAGGACCCTGCATCATCAGAACCTATGTTGGTCCCTGCTCAGAGGGCCACTGGTGGCCAGGGCCTGCTCTGCCTCTGCTGACCTTGTCCATCTTCCCTGGCAGGCTGTGAAGCGGTTCTTGAAACAAGAGTGCAAGTGTCACGGCGTGAGCGGTTCCTGTACTCTGAGGACGTGCTGGCTGGCCATGGCCGACTTCAGAAAAACAGGCGATTATCTCTGGAGGAAGTACAATGGGGCCATCCAGGTCGTCATGAATCAGGATGGCACCGGCTTCACTGTGGCGAACAAGAGGTTTAAGAAACCTACAAAAAATGACCTTGTGTATTTTGAGAATTCTCCAGACTACTGTATCAGGGACCGGGATGCAGGTAAGCTCAAAACACTTAATTCGTAGCACCTAATTCTTCCAATGATCAACACCATAGTTAAATGAAGCTCTGTGTTTTCTATCAGTGCAGCCTGCTGCCTTTGGGTCCAAAGCTCATATTCACGCGATGCATAGGGTGCAGAGAACTTTCCTGAACCATGGGAGAAAGGGTTTGATAACATGCAGATTCTGGAGAAAAGAGAACCCAACGAGAATATAGGTGGCAAAAAGTCAAAATAGGCAGCTTAGCAAAATTCTTTAACTTGGGCAGACCTCCAAACCACTACTCTATACAGTGGACTGACGTGCAATCTTCTGTGGACCTGAAGCTGAGCAGAGGACAGCTTTGCTATGTCTCTCCCTCCTTACTAGCCCTGCATCTGCAATGATGGAAGAGGGTCTGGGGCTTTCAGATTGGCCTATTATGAACGTTGTCATGCTTTCCACACCCTTGCTCTTTCAGGGATGTGCAGAAGTTGCCAGAATTCATCCCCACTGGCATGGCCATTGGAGGGCACTGGACAAGGGCTATGTAAGAGCCACTTCCTCTGTGAAGACTGCCCTCTCCCCTTGCGACAGCACCTTCTCTGTCTTGAGTTCACCCAGTAGCAGCTCTGTCATCCTCAGCACAACTGTTCCCTCTGTCTGGTTTTCTACACATGCTGCTCTCTGCCTTGAGCCCCTCTGGACTTCAGGTTGATCACAGTCTTTGCAAGGACTCTGATATAAATTAAGAATGAGTTGAAGTCTCGATAGGTAGGTGATGGAGAGCACACAGCCAACCTTGGCTAAACCAGCTTCTCAAATTTAGTGGAAAGCAAGGAAATCCATTATCAGGGAAAAAATCCTCGAATTAAGTTTTGAGATTTTTTTTCTTCCTGAATAATTGCAGAAGAACCAATAAGACAGTGCAGATGACAATCAGCTCCCAACATTAACTTGACCCAGAGGAGAGTTAGAATCAGGAAGTCCAGGATCTCCCCTATGCTCCCTAGTGGGGGGAATCTCCTCTTTGCCCCCCCCCCGGTGGGGGGGATCTCCTTCACAGTTTGATGAGCTTCTTCTGTGAAGAGAGCAGGTTCGTACATGCCGTTTGTGGATTAACAACTGCTGAGCAAAAGGGCCAGAAGCTGCTGCATTCCTAACATGCTTCAGGACCTCTAACAAGTCATCCTACCTGTCAGGCAAAAGTTGTGGCTGCATCATCATGAAACCTGTGCTTTGATAGGGGATTGTTTCAGAGGTCTAACTCCCTCTCTGCCATTAACTCTGTTTCATCTCAGGGTCCTTGGTTAGGACAGGGGATGACCATAGCAGGATAATTTTTAGGAACGACATACTCACTCCCATGTGGCAGGCACTGGGCTAAGATCTTCACCTAACTGGTTTTACTTAATCCTGTGGGCTGCCCTGTGCCATCGATGCATTGCAAGTGGTTCCTAAAAAAAAAGAGAAGGTGGCTTCTGGTTGATCAACACCAACCAAAAACCAAATTGCATATTATTAGTTGAAATCAGATAAGCAGCCCTCGATATTCTCATCCCAAATGTGTGAATGAGAAGAGTGAACAACTAGCTGAAGCTCTCGATGGTCTGACTGTGACCGGAGTGCCTGACCCTACCACCACCACTGGTCCCTCCTGAAGCCCAGGGCACGAATATGAGATGTTAAGAGGACCTGTTTCCCCAGGCCATCTCTTCTGGTATTTAGATCAAAGCAGTTGTGTTTGATGAACATTTAACTGTCTCATGACTATTCAGTGAAATGAAGGCCTGACTTTCCCTTTCCCACAGAGGAGATTCTGAGTCTAATCCCTGAGGCATCTTCAGGATACTTAGATATGCTTTCCTACTTTTCTTTTTCTTTTCCCTGTTTTGAACAGTGTTCTGTTTCTTGATCCTAACATACCAAACACATATTGCATATTATTTGTTGAAGTACTTGCACACATTAGGGCCTGATCTGTATCTTCTTCATGACTCCACAAGGAGTCGATAAAATGGTAGTCTCACTGCGCCATTTCACGAAAGGAAGCTGAGGTTCTGACACACAGGTTATAGATTTTGCCCGAGGACTCTCAGTTGGTAAGAGATAGGACAAGGACTTGAACCCTGAGCCTTCCTCTCAGCCACTTTACTCTACCTCCAGATGGGCCAGCCGTGAACTTTTGGGGGTGGGGAAGAGTGCTATAATTTGTTCACTCTCTTATGTCTGTTCCATCTGAGACTCATTCCAGCTTATCTGATTTAAAAAGATGTGAATTTGGCTCTTGGTTGGTGTTGATGGATGGGAAGCCACCTTATTATTTACTTTTTATGTGGTCAGTTCGAGTGTATTAGATCAGATTACCACTAAAATTCCTAGTGTATTCATAAATTATCTGAACTACACTTAATGGCCTTTTTAGCTGAGCATACAAAAGTGCCAAACTTTACAATATTTCTTTTTAGTTCTGTTGACCATCAGATGACTATTTTAGTGACCCTAAGACTGGGGGTATTTGATATTATGTAAGCAAAAGTTCAGATTGTTGACTGAGTCGTGTTGTCATTGTTTGTCTTTGGAATCCCAAGTAATCACATGTACGAGATACACATTTTCCCTGGTCTGTGTCATCTGTGACCTCCTAAAAACAAGGCTTTATCCTGGCTGGTTTCTACCAGAAACTTCCATGAGTGGCTTGTAGCTTCTCTTTTTAGTAGCAGAGAGATATGACAGAATCTGAGGCCCACAAGGAGGGAAGGTCCTCATACATAAATCATAGTGGCTTTGTCCTTCCACACGGAATGAAGAACTAGAGTTCCTGTTAACTTCCTGTCATAGCAAATGTGAACAGGAGTTTGTTAAAACAAACTTTAAAGTAGTTCATTGTTGTGTGAGCACACCCACAAGGGACTCTTCCTCTCTCCACTCATGCTGTGTTTGGGAGTCCTTTTTCTGGATGTAGAGCCCCCTATTCCAAACAGTTTACAATGACAGGCTCCAGGCTCTAAGATAAATCAGAAGTTTGCAGTGCATTGAAATCAACACAAATAACATTTTTCATTTCACTACTAAAATGAGCTGTAGGGTTTCCCTAGGTTACCTCATACCACCCATTCTGTTTTGTTGTGTCCCTTTTTCTGTCATCTGCACTCAGTATTCATCCCATCGGGTACCTACTACCAGCCAGCCAGTGCTGAGAAGGCCGTGGGCTGAGCAGGGACAACATTGTCAAGCAGTAGCAGTTTGGACCCGCAGACTTTATTCTTGCTGTTCAGCACCTGTTTCCTGTTCAAATTAACTCTGCAGAGAGCCGGCTAGTTTTGTCAGTTTGGTCTGTGGAATGGAGAAAGCCTACAGGTCTGGTCCACTGTTTAGCAAAGTGAGGGCCTCTCTGAGACCTATTCCCGGGAGTCTGTTGGTGTTTTCAACTTCAGTCCCTCAAAGATTAAAATATCAATGGTTTAGGTATTCCATCATCCCTGATTTCCCATAAGTGTTGGATAAGAAATCCAGAGAACTATCCTTTTCTTGGAATGTTTGATCTCTTCCAAAGGGGGCGGGGGGGAACCTTACTTATTGATGAGATCTAGATAAATGTCACCTAAAAAAAATAAATAGCTCCCACCCTGACTTACCAGTGGAAGAGGGTGTCCTTTCACATTGAGGCTTGCTATGTTGGGGGCCCAGCTTACTGAAACACATTAAAGTCATTTCTGCCCACAAAGCTTCCCTGGGTTCTGCTTGGCTGAGGTTATCGAGTCATCCCTTCAGTAGTGTCCTGATAATGATGCCTGGACTAGACAGTCTGGGTGGTGAGAACTGTAAGGGTAGGTTAGGGAACACCCTGGGAATTCTTGCGTGGGAACTGGCCCAGAACCCAAGTGGGTAAGAGGGATAGGCACTGGGGAAATCCCTATTGCAAACCAGGCATTTTCTTTGAATCTTCACCACAGTTCTCTCCATTTATAAAAATGAAATGGATGTGGGGTCCTATGAGTGGGCCATCATGGGCAACTCTGACTTATTTGCTATCCACAAATCACAGCAGAGATTCCTTGATCACCTATGGAGTAAAGCCCGTATCACAAGGCAGCCCGGAGACACCTAGACCGCTGTTGACCAGATCATGTGACTATCTCCATGGTGGTCTGCCTGTGACAACATCAAATACTTTGCTAACGCAAATGTCACTTAGCATATGGCCACAATGCTGCTTCCCTGTCCCTTGTAAAACTTTGTCCCCTATTCCTTTTGGACCCTGTTTCTCATACCACTGTCACGTGACCAGCTTTTACTAGCCTGTATGATGTTAATAAATGGCACAAGCACTTCTGCTTGAGCAGCAGTCTGGCCTTGCAAACCTCTTCACAACTGCTGTGTCCCTCACCATGTTCTGCTGCAGACTGGCAGAAGTTTCTTGTCGTAACAAAATGGAGGCTCTGAATAGTTACTTGTCCAAAATGTTCGGGTCTATAAGTGACAGAGTAAATAAAATTCAAAGTAAAAAATCTCTATTTTTCTCATTATCCCTCTCCTTGAAATTTGGGCATAAGAAGAACAGGGCCCTCATGCTTCCGAGACCTATGGAAGCATGAGGAGAGGAACGTCAGCACAAGTGGGGAGACTGAAGTGGACAGACTCAAGCTTCCCCACATTTATCTCAGAGCACTGGCAGGCCCCCTGCACATTTTCAACAATGTCTTTACTTGTTCCTAAGAAGTGATAATCAAAAGATAGAGGAATTTTCTTACAGCAACAGTAACAAGAAAAGACATTGCCCCTTCTCTTCAGTGGAGAAAGTGAGTGCTCTGAGGCTCAACTATAAATACTCCCTCCTGCAGCTCAGCTAGTACAGTTGTGTGCTGTTGTGCAGGTGACATTTGGCAGGCCAAACTGGAGGCAGGGCTTTCTGGGATGGGTGTGCTGGTGGTTCTGTGGTTATCTACTTTGGTTATTGCCCCAGGCATCTGTAAATCAAAGAAGTCCTTCACTTAGAGATAGGTGCATCTCTAACTA